AAATTGTAGGTAGGTATTTTATATACACATACAGAGGTAAACCGCCGACTTGACCAGGTGAAAGAAACGCTCACTTCACACAGATCGTAGCTTGTGATACCTGAGAGTCGGTTCTTATCTTTCGCTGCGAACTAACGGCGCAAAGTATTTTTTTTTTGCTACTCGGTTGTGGCGGTAAAAACTAGTAGGCGCCGCGACGCGTCGTATTCAGTGGTAAAAACTTTTATGAAGTGTTTTTTAGTACGAAGTTAATTTGTTAGTTATTATCCAGTGACATTAATGTGTATTGACATTTGAAACTGTTTTGAAAGTGGATTAGATTATAGCACCAAGGTAATTGTTCAAAATATATCTAGTAATAAAAATATAGATAAATCGATACCTGTTGTACATAAATACATGTAAATAGTAAAAACTATCCACAATAGTATCATGTTTTAATTTACAATTAAATATTGGTTATTAATTACCGCTTTTATTGTCAATTTAATTAACAATAATAACTTCAGTATGTAGTTAATTAATTTTGTTAAAATGTATATAAAAGATACCTGTTGCTGCTTACTAAACATTTTTTTTAATAATTTTTTCCATTCCACTTCAGGATAAAATTTATCTTCTAATTTTTTTGAAAATGTAAATTATAAAATACTGTTTTGCCTTGTTTGCTTCAAGTATAAAGTTTATGCAATTAATTATACTATAATGTTAATTATAACGGATTTCCTTAAATGGTGTCATCGCAATTTAACATGAAGTTAGTTGACCTTCTATAAATGTTACATTAATGACTAAAATAGTTCAAAATTTTATTGCTGGGGATACAAACTTTTATTTTTATGATATCCAAAAATGATTATTGATGTATGGCAAGTGCAACGTTATACCGAAGTTACTTCTAGACTCATTCATAAAAATTGCAAGCGCGTTAGAAAACTTTTGTTTCGTATTTGACCGATAATATAAAAAAGTTGTCGTAAACTTTTCTAAGGCATTTAAAAGTTAATTTCGTTATGCGTTTCTCTTACAATTAGTATATGCAAACATAAATATGTCTATCTTACATATGTTATACGGCATCATTTTAAATATTTACAATTTGCGGATCATTTAGAAAGTCCATTATTAATTCATCTGTTCGAATTGTAACGAATTGGTTTCACTTGAAGAGTTGCAAATTAAGAACACTAGTAAAATGTCATCTGTTTCCGTTAATTATTCATGTATGGCTTTGTATGGCAAAATTGCAAATTACTGTAACCCTGATTTTGATGAAATAGAGACAGCTAAATTATATTTAAATATCAATATTATGCTTCAACGGTGCAGTGGTGTCTACGATATTACACTTTAAGCAACTTTTGGTAAGCTAACAATAATTTCTAATTTCGATTTACCAGTATCAAATACATATTGTACTTTTTTATTACGTACTACTACTATACATAAATTAATATAAAGTTTATTTCTCCTAATAAATTATAATTATAGTTTTTAAGTATACTATTGTTGAAAAATAAAAGTTTTAATCTTGAGTTGATGGTTGTTGTACGTAATTACAACTGTTACTATTTTGGCAACGATTTGACTGATCCATTTTGGATTTTGTCCAATTAAATAGTTTACGCATTTAATTATTAGTTAAGCTACTTAATTGGAGATACCTAATTCCTCGTTTCTTCTTTATTGCACACATTTATTATCGCCTTATTTGTACTGAACATAAAGTTTTTATTGCAATATTTTAAGTACATTACTACCTCCAGTACTTTTTAAGAATTAAGAAAAAATATATAATAAGTACAACAAATATAATACACCGATGAAAAAATTTCAACTCATGTAATGATATTTACTACTAATTTAGTATGTTTCGCAGACTTAATCTATTAGTTCGCCAGCACGCCATAAATCATTAATCCTCATTTTTAATGCATGTAAAATTTTTAAGAAATACAAAAAGCCGATGTGACTTTTCAGTAATTAACATCAATAACCACTTATTCAACGAGTAATTGATAGTTTTGGTTGAATCAGAAAGTGTGCCAAACTCCTGAAAAGAACGGTAAACGCGAGTTAACTATCTAATAACAATGCCACGTACATAGAAGAATAAAATCGAACACACAAAGGTATACCTATACCTACCTATCATTTTTATCATGTAAGTATCTATTGTATACATTAACTCTAAGAACGTTTCTCTTTAATACTGTATATGGAACACATATTTTTGGAGGCACGCCTACATTCGTTTGTCACGATGATGTTGGTTTTCATTTTTGAAACACATTTTAAGAAACTAAACGGTTTATAAAGTGCACAAGTCATGTCTTTGTTTTTCTGGTTTAGTATAGCAATAATTTCAATAATTTGTAAACGATAATTGGTTTTTTGTATTACCTGATGGTTGAAGTGTTAGAGACGATTAATTTTAATGAAGTTTTAAACAATTTTGAAAACGATGTTACAGGAGTTTTTCCATGTTGATATTTATACATTCGATATTTGTAAATTTAATTTAAACACGATAAAAGCAATTGCAGCAATTTATAGAAACTTTTTGTTCTATATAAGAACAAATATTTTTAAATTATTTTCAATTATGAGCGTCTCTCTAACAGTTTTACGCATCCAGGGAAGAAGGTAGGTACGGTATTTCCCACATGTATGAACCCCGAGATCGAATGTTGTGCTTTCGTCCTTAATTTTAGGGAACTGTAACGTACTTTCAGTAAGGACATGGTAAAAAACAAACTTTGTTATGGAGACCCCACTGAAAATTTTATCCTGGATCCTCATTTTCGTAATTACGTTACTGTTAACTGTGGTGTAAAACTACCACCCAAAAATATTATCAATTTTTATAATGTGCCTAAATATACGAATTATCAAAATTTTACCTATCTAGTCAATTCTATTTGAGTATATTGCATATACAAATTCCATTAAAGTTATGTCAAACAGATGCTAAAGGAAACTAAATAATTGTTAAGGAATTAGGCCTTACTTATCTTGATATTTTTTGCAATTATTAAAAAGGCGCCGGCTTTACCGCCGTTCCCCTCTAACTTTATGAAAACTATTGATAATAAATATGTTAATCAAAAATAAGATTAAACATTATATGCACGTACTAGCAATTTATTTTTCTATATCGGTTAATTGTACGTCGATCTAAAATAGAAATTCTGCTTTTTAAGCTTTCAGAAAGGCATATTAAATGCAGCTTCAATTAATCAATCACAAACCGCTAGGCATATAATCTAATTAAGATCTCTCTTTGTAATTTACTTTATAACAAGTAGCAGCCTACATTATACATATGGACTTTCTTTAAACCGATAAGAAATAGTGAAAATAATAATCATTGAGAAGCTGTTATAGTTTCATCAAACTGTCTGTCAGTAAATTTTCCTGTCGATCGTTTTTGTCTCCGTTCCCCTTTCAAATTCGCTGTAAGTGGCAATTTTTGCCGACAAGAAAAACTTCCAACTTTAATAAAAAAGAAAAAACAAAAAGAGCCATTATCGTCGCCTACTACTATCTACCACGTCTGTATAATTCTTCTGCCTATTGATGCGTGTTATTGGAAAACGTTAATAACACTATTTGTTCAGCGAAACGCGTCAATTAGTGATACGGACAAGACGAGAGAGTAGGTCAAATAAACTTGGTCAAAGAGGAGACACAACCAGCCCACATTGTGCTTCAGCTTTAACACATCCAACACAGCCAACATTTTATTACAGCGTCGCCAACTAAACATAACGGTATAAAAAACAACGAGCATCGCGATGTATAAAGAATAAAGAGCGGCCGTACGTCTGATTCAATCTTCACCTATTTCATGGCACACTTTTACATACCTAAAGGTATAATACGTATCAGACACAACGAACGATCTCTATGTAGTTGATCTCCTTGATAACGATGAATCAATGTCTTACATACGCGGCATTGTTGTCAGCTGAAGAGATTTTTAGCTTCCAGCAGTTGCACACCTCTTTAATAACTATCCTGAGAAGGCTTGGAAGTCTTTTATTAAGTGCACAAAGAGTGCTAGATACCTAAATCTCAATCAGGCAAGCGATTAATGAAGTAGAGAAATTCGGAACTCAATAAAAGTTAAAATAGTATACAGTGGATTTCGGGTAGGTAAAACGACAACGAAGGGACCACTGTAATGTCGTCGTTATATCCAGAAGTCGTTGCAGGCAAAGTTAAAGGAGATACAGACACACACTCTTTTTCAATTTTGAAACAATTTTCGCCTTTTTTTAACAGTAAATGTACATCTGGAAGTCACACTTATTCAAAAAGTTTACTAAAGTATGCTTTAAATTCAAGGGACATACATATAACGTCACTATAGCACAATGGTAGCTATAACCAAGGTCGTAATAAATGAAATCCATTGTATTTTATTATTTTATACCGAAGTTGTATCCTACGACATGTTATAAAGGACAACAAATACCTACTTTGGGTACGTTTACATATGTTAAAGTCAGAGCCTCATAAACTACTTTTCGTTAATTAATAAGGCAAGATTGTCGCTAAAATATATTAATAAAAATGTGTACAAAAGTTCGTTAAAATTTTATGAAAGTATGGTAAAAAATACACCATTGTAAGATAAGCCTGATAGAACATAGAACCTATAATAAACGGGAAGTAGTTAAGACTTGACAAAAGTTAAATAGAAGTAGGAACTCTTATTAAGGTCATAAAATTGGATGTCATTTAGACTTATTACTTAAGTATTAACCAAAACTGTATTCTACAAACCCCTAATAAAGGATAATATATTTGCACGCTAAAGTAATGACCTTATAAATTATTAAGTATTTGACAACTATTGCATGTGATCTATTTATCCGTTCATACGACTAACATCAAAGCGCCGATGTAAATATAAAATAAAGGTTTGTAGATAATTTTTTCTAAGATTTTTTAGTAATTGTAAGTGTTAAAAGATACTAANGTTGCTAGCGCAGGTAGTCAACAACCAGGAGCTTACGCGGATGGGGTACGAATGGAGGAAATTGTGGAGGGTACTGTAGGTGCTTTGCACATTTTAGCAAAAGAATCGCACAATCGCGCCATCATCAGACAGCAGATGGTTATACCAATATTCGTTCAGTTACTTTTCAATGATATAGAGAATATACAACGGGTTGCAGCTGGTGTATTATGTGAATTAGCAGCCGATAAAGAGGGCGCTGAAATGATAGAACAAGAGGGGGCCACGGCGCCCCTTACCGATCTGCTGCATTCCAGGAATGAAGGTATATTAAATTCTCATAATGATTATCAGAGATACAATTTATATCAGCAAAATCGTAAAATTGGTCATTTTTAAATGAGCAAACTAATTTTACAATCTATCTGTAACAAATGCATACCTAGGAGAATTATAATTTGTAATTCTTTAGGTGTAGCAACGTATGCTGCAGCTGTATTATTCCGTATGAGTGAAGATAAACCTCAAGACTATAAGAAACGTCTCTCAATGGAGTTAACCAATTCCTTATTTAGAGAAGAGAACCTGTGGAATGCAGACCTGGGCATGGGACCAGATTTGCAGGTATGATCAACCATTAATATTTGTTTATTATTTATTGATATGAACCGATATATGTATGTATTAATTTACAAAAGTGTACTGTATTGGAATGATTTTTATTTTGTCATTATTAGATTGCTTTTCTAAGCAATTAATTTGTTTTTCCTTTACGTTTGAGTAAAATCAGCTAGCTGAGCTACTAGTAGTAGGAAAGTATTTTATTTATTTTGTTTTTAAGTTTGGTTTTATTTTGTTTTTTGCATTTTGTCGTGATTAGGACATTTTGAGTCCCGATCAAGCTTACGATGGCATGTATGGCCAGGGACCACCTAGCATTCACAGTAGCCATGGCGGTAGAGCCTATCAACAACAAGGTAAGTAATGTTTGTATTTAGTTTTTTGTTTCCCGGACTTTATGTTAACATTTACTAACTTAGATTCCTAAAAGTTTTCATATAAGGTGAGTATTTTCTTAAGCCTTAATGTGTTGTTTGTTTTTTACATATTTGAATTGTAATTATTATCTCAGTCCCTTTTCAATAATAATCGTAGTCAGAATTATTTTAAGGTTTTATAAAATCCGAAATTTTTGACGTTGTGTTTGCTTTTGAGTTAATATACATGTGATCACTTATAATTTTTGAACACGTTATGGAAGTTTTAAAATTAGTTTTAATTGCAATTTAATTTGTATTGAATTACTGTAAACGGCTTACACCCATATTTTTCTTTAATGAGGTCGACTTTAAGTATATAGAATCGCGACTTACTAGTTTCAAAAGAATTATCTTATAATTAATCAACAGAAGTAGCTTTTTTTTTGTTTTTGGGTGTCGGCATTTTGCATGTATTAAGTTTACTAGTCGTTTTAACAAGTTTTTGTGGAATGTATAATTTTCGTTGAAAAGTGACGGTAAAAATTTAAACGCAATTGCTATTCAGTCCATTTTTTAAACGTGAATTAAATTGTTATTTGATTGGCAATTTAAAAGCAGATTATCTATAAGTGACAATTCTGCGATGTAGGTATTTAGCCGGTAACATTACAATTAATTCCTAGTACATATAAAAACATCCCTATAATGACAATTATAATTAATGTTATATCACCCTTTGTTGCTACATAATTATGAAAAACGTAAACGCACCAGAATTTAATAATTGCACAAAACGTGTGTCGGGATGCAACCTCTTACTTTTTCTTTTTATTTATCTTGTTTAATTGTTTACTCATTTTTGTGAACTATCATAAGTATAAGTATTACATATTTCTTAAAGCTTACGTACATATGCGACATCTCGTAAGTAAAACTCAAAAAAAAAAAAAATGTACTTCGATGCTGTATTTGAGAACATTATAAAGTAATTATTATTTATTTATTTGAATTATACATTTAGAAAAATAGTTTTAGGGAACTGAAGAAAGTAAAAATGTGTTATTAAATCAGAATACTTGTAAGAAAATATTTTCCATATTCATTATGAATTTCAACCAAGTAACAGTAGACTATTTTACCTACATTTATTGAAATTATCGAGTACAAAGATTATAAAGCAAAATCAAATTTAATTGACGATTGGTTATTTGACATGCTTAGGTTGCTTGTACAAAACAAAAGTGGAAATTTAACAGAATTGCCCTGCGTTTAATAATTTATTTGTCTTGTAAACTCAGTTTTTCAAAAAGAAGGTTGCATCCTTGAACTTGTTTATTTTAACAAATTTTCTTACTTTGCATGTGACTTAAACAATGTGTGTGTTTATCTTCATTATTAATTACCAAAATTGTTCATTAGGGTATGACCAGATACCAATAGACATGCAAGGGCTTGACATCGGGTCACCTGGGGGAGGCAATGGTTCAACCTATAGTGCCATAGACGCAATGGAGGTCGGTAGTGCAGAGCCCGATTTAAATTTCGACCCCATGAACGAACTTCCTAATCCACCCCAGGATAACAACCAGGTTGCAGCTTGGTATGACACCGATTTGTAGAATGTGTGTTTTGATCATTCTCATTCATTACCCATCAAATAAACCTTTACACCTCTAGACTATTTTTATTTTATGTTACACAATACGGATTGTATGGATTGTATCCTATTTATTTCATTTTTTGTGCAATTATTTAAACGTTGGAAGTTTTCAAGGGTTCTTGAAGAACGAGCGATTTATCCCTCAACAATTTTATAATCGCAAATATTGTATGATGTAATCAGTATTTTGATCATTCTCATTCATTACCCATCAAATAAACCTTTACACCTCTAGACTATTTTTATTTTATGTTACACAATACGGATTGTATGGATTGTATCCTATTTATTTCATTTTTTGTGCAATTATTTAAACGTTGGAAGTTTTCAAGGGTTCTTGAAGAACGAGCGATTTATCCCTCAACAATTTTATAATCGCAAATATTGTATGATGTAATCAGTATTTTTAGTCTTTACAAATAAGTAAAGTGTATTTGTTATTTTGTAATTGTGTACCAATATCTTTTCTAATTATTCTTATTGCCTTTTTATTGTCATTTATATAATATTTGTTGTAATTTAAGATTATTTTGCATGCTGCTCCTTTTTTCTACTTAAAATATTACAGGGTAGCTAAAAGATCATGATATCTTCATTGTATGTCTTTCTAATATAGAAATATGTAATATTTATGAAATGTTGTGTTTTTTTTACCCTTGAGTTCCTCAGTAATTCAAAATAAGTGATAAACTTAAAATATTTGAAGCAGTCAAGGTAAGTTCCATAATTTCCGTTTCTAGCAATTTTTTGCAATATTTAATGATACAAATTTCCGAAAAATAATTGATATATAACGTTTTCTTAATATATTAAGAAAATCTTGTTAATTGTAAATATAGTTTGAAGAAAGGACTACATTTATTTTTATAGAGCACCAACATTACTCTCAAGTCAACATGTTGCGGAAATCCAAATTTATACACTTTTTATGTACAATATAATAGTTATAATTTAAATTTAATCTAGCAAATAGTAAATATATTTTTCCCTCTTTTTCAATTAATGTNTGTTAATCAAAAATAAGATTAAACATTATATGCACGTACTAGCAATTTATTTTTCTATATCGGTTAATTGTACGTCGATCTAAAATAGAAATTCTGCTTTTTAAGCTTTCAGAAAGGCATATTAAATGCAGCTTCAATTAATCAATCACAAACCGCTAGGCATATAATCTAATTAAGATCTCTCTTTGTAATTTACTTTATAACAAGTAGCAGCCTACATTATACATATGGACTTTCTTTAAACCGATAAGAAATAGTGAAAATAATAATCATTGAGAAGCTGTTATAGTTTCATCAAACTGTCTGTCAGTAAATTTTCCTGTCGATCGTTTTTGTCTCCGTTCCCCTTTCAAATTCGCTGTAAGTGGCAATTTTTGCCGACAAGAAAAACTTCCAACTTTAATAAAAAAGAAAAAACAAAAAGAGCCATTATCGTCGCCTACTACTATCTACCACGTCTGTATAATTCTTCTGCCTATTGATGCGTGTTATTGGAAAACGTTAATAACACTATTTGTTCAGCGAAACGCGTCAATTAGTGATACGGACAAGACGAGAGAGTAGGTCAAATAAACTTGGTCAAAGAGGAGACACAACCAGCCCACATTGTGCTTCAGCTTTAACACATCCAACACAGCCAACATTTTATTACAGCGTCGCCAACTAAACATAACGGTATAAAAAACAACGAGCATCGCGATGTATAAAGAATAAAGAGCGGCCGTACGTCTGATTCAATCTTCACCTATTTCATGGCACACTTTTACATACCTAAAGGTATAATACGTATCAGACACAACGAACGATCTCTATGTAGTTGATCTCCTTGATAACGATGAATCAATGTCTTACATACGCGGCATTGTTGTCAGCTGAAGAGATTTTTAGCTTCCAGCAGTTGCACACCTCTTTAATAACTATCCTGAGAAGGCTTGGAAGTCTTTTATTAAGTGCACAAAGAGTGCTAGATACCTAAATCTCAATCAGGCAAGCGATTAATGAAGTAGAGAAATTCGGAACTCAATAAAAGTTAAAATAGTATACAGTGGATTTCGGGTAGGTAAAACGACAACGAAGGGACCACTGTAATGTCGTCGTTATATCCAGAAGTCGTTGCAGGCAAAGTTAAAGGAGATACAGACACACACTCTTTTTCAATTTTGAAACAATTTTCGCCTTTTTTTAACAGTAAATGTACATCTGGAAGTCACACTTATTCAAAAAGTTTACTAAAGTATGCTTTAAATTCAAGGGACATACATATAACGTCACTATAGCACAATGGTAGCTATAACCAAGGTCGTAATAAATGAAATCCATTGTATTTTATTATTTTATACCGAAGTTGTATCCTACGACATGTTATAAAGGACAACAAATACCTACTTTGGGTACGTTTACATATGTTAAAGTCAGAGCCTCATAAACTACTTTTCGTTAATTAATAAGGCAAGATTGTCGCTAAAATATATTAATAAAAATGTGTACAAAAGTTCGTTAAAATTTTATGAAAGTATGGTAAAAAATACACCATTGTAAGATAAGCCTGATAGAACATAGAACCTATAATAAACGGGAAGTAGTTAAGACTTGACAAAAGTTAAATAGAAGTAGGAACTCTTATTAAGGTCATAAAATTGGATGTCATTTAGACTTATTACTTAAGTATTAACCAAAACTGTATTCTACAAACCCCTAATAAAGGATAATATATTTGCACGCTAAAGTAATGACCTTATAAATTATTAAGTATTTGACAACTATTGCATGTGATCTATTTATCCGTTCATACGACTAACATCAAAGCGCCGATGTAAATATAAAATAAAGGTTTGTAGATAATTTTTTCTAAGATTTTTTAGTAATTGTAAGTGTTAAAAGATACTAAAAATAACTTTGAATAAAATGTCTAGTCAGATTTTATTAATTATTAAAAGTTTCCTTCATCCTTATATTCGAGTAGAAGACCCCTTCAAAAGCTTTTCTGAATTAAAACGAGTTAGTACTATATACGCTTCATTAAGAAAATCAGTAATTTAGTTGTAAATTATTTTCAGAACGTGATTGTTTTGTACTTTTTACAGACTTTCCCAAAAATACCTCAGATCTACGTCTATAAAAACAGTACTTTTTTATGTGCAAGTATAAAAGGTAATTGAATGAAATATAATTCCATACCAATTTACACATAGTGGAACAACTTTACAACAAGCACACATTTATTTTTTTTTATCGCCCATAGATCTAATCAGAAATCTAGATGATGTGAAAGTATATTTTTATTAAATAAATACGTATTTTTAGAAACAACATTCACATTTTCGATGAAAAAGTTGTTATATGTTACACGCATATTGTATTATTATACATATTAAGAATTACTTTCGCGCTTTCAGATTTTACTTTTCATATCCTTAAACTGTGCGGTTTTATTATTTTTTTAATAGTATTATAGTACTATGTATAGCACCTAGTACATAAAGTATTGGCGAAAAGAATATATAAAGCATTTATGAAGTGTAATTTAAAGTTCCATTTTCACAGTAACAGTGATAGATAATATTATAAGAAAGTTATTTAAATTATTTAACGAATATGTAGAAATTATTTATATATTTAACCTTTTCAGTATATACCTATCCCAAATCATTTTAATATTTCTGTTACACAATAGTGTATCGAAGAACCTAGATATCTTCATTATTTTCAAATAATAATAAATTATGCAAATATTTGTCAAATAATTAGAAAGGTTAATCTACAGTAAAAATTCTCTAAAGTTTGATGTTCTTCGATATGGGAAGAATAACGCCTAAGGCTAGCTACTAATTCCTTCCTTTATAAACTTTGCAGTTGTTTTACCAATGCAGATAAACTGTTTAGTAGCATAGATATGATATTCGTATGAAGATTTATTGCTTTACTTGAAAATTAATGTTGGTTTTACTGGAATCCTTTTGAGATATAGACAGATACTCAAATTCATATTTAAGAAATAAAAACTTACCGAAAAAGGTAATAAATGTTTTTAAATTCAGTGTTCAGTTAAGATTATTTATTTTTTATTAGTGTTAAGCTACGTTAAATATTCTAAATTTTGGTGAAAACCGCATTAAAATCAACTAAGAAATAACTGAGTTACCTCATTTTTATATTTTCCTACTTTAATTCTTGCAAGTGGCGCTTGATATTGTTTATATTTCTACATTCCGGAAGGGAGATTCCCATTAAGGACACCTGTAACGACCTTGTCCTAGTTTTCAAATATCAAAATGGCCACCACCGTAACAGCCAATCAGACGCATCTATTTCTATCGAGCCGGTTTAAATCAATCAAACTTGCATTCATCAGTTAGTCACCCCCGATGCTTTGTAGGGTGTACTTCGTTGCACAAATTTTAAGTTGCAAATACGCAAAAAACGTCTTGCAATTATTATTTTATTATTAAAACGAATTAAATATCGTCAGTATTCGCTTAATTAAAACAATTTTAATAAAACCAATGACATTTACATATTATTGTTATTAGGTTGTTATATTTCCTACTTTTTCTTATTTGAAGGTTCTTATATTTGTTTGTGCGAAATGTATGTAAACTAAAAATTAATTATGCTTCCTGTAAGTGTTCATATTGTCTAATTAATCTTTACAATTATTAATTGATTATGACATATGTGTTTTTAATATTATTTAATTCATTTCCGATAAAGTAGATGTTTCTAATTTAACAGATATCCAAGAAGGTGTACTTGTTCTTGAACGAATTGTAATTATTTACTGGTTAGTACCTGTTATAATAATGTTGTATATAAATATTAACTGACAGAACAGTAATAAATTAATACCTAGCGTTGTTTTTCTGGGGTAATAATTAATGAGAGATTTGCGCAACGTATTAAAAAGCCTAATCAATTAAGAATACGTTTTGTATGCTAGAATGAGGTCGAATGGTGTAAATCATTTTGTGTCAACCGTTGGCCAAGAAATGCAGTGAAATTAAAAATTTAGTAATTCATGACAACAATAGGTAGGTTACATATAATCATAGGTTAAAGAGCTAATAACGAGAAAACGCTTTAGAACTCGACAATTATTTAAATAGGTACGCAAGCACTTATTAAAAGTCAAGGAAAAAATATTTTTAATGGAATTTAAATTAAAAGTGTGGCAAAAATTACCTATGCAATAGAAACGTATGCATTCTAAATATTACTAATAGCTTTTTATGAACAATTACTACGTACTCAAGTCTATTTGTTATTTAGCGTTAAATATTGATGGATCTGTTCATTCATGTGACCTTTAGAGATGCTGTAAACAAAGAGCGAAAACGTTGCTCTAAATACATATATTTCAATGAATAATGGCTGGGATATAAGGTCAAAAGGGCACGAAACAACCATTATCCTTTGTTCATGAAAAGTGTATGTAAATCATTGTTTTATATCTCCCTCGCCGCTCTGTCATTTCTTAACAAGGCGAACAAAGATTTGGAAAAAAGTTGAAAGTCGATTGATTTTGATGAGTATATTCAATTAAAACGATTTCCGATTAATTAAACCGAGATTCAGCAAGGTCTTAATTCATTTAGTTTTAATTAATGATTTCAGTAGTTTAATGCCTGTTGATGTAGGTACTCTTTTAGATGTACACATATTGAAACAAATGTAATATACTACACACGTTGATGCAAGAATTTCAATTTTTTGCGTTGTTCTAAACAAATATGAGAACAATTTCTTAGATTGGATTGTTTGGAAGTGAGAGTTTTCGTCAATAAAAAAAATATAGGACGATGCTATTAGTTAAGAAACGTCTACTTTTACTTCAGTGTGCCCTATTTATATTGTGGCCATTCTTCATACTACGCAGTTCATCCATCAAATGGAATAATCATGGCAATTACTGTTTATGACATTAATGAGATGAAGTCGTTTCTAGCAAACGTGAGATGTATCTGGTCACGATCTAAATTTGCTACAGTTATCATTACTGTCAGAAAAAGAAATGAAAAAACGTTTAGTAATAAATAATTTCTATATGTATAGTGCGATAGACTCTACCATAACATGGGTAATGTATCACTTTTTGTTGCTGTTTCTATGTACTATGAGGTTTTTGAAATCGCACAGTAACAGAAACGAAAGAACATAACGTGGTACCATATATGCTTTCCATCGAATAAAATAATTTGATCCAATGGCAACGTGTAAATTAACTAGCAATGCGTCGCTAATCAGTTAGTTAATCAAGCAATTGGATTTGTCCACGACGTAAGTTAATGTTTAAATTTATTCCGCATCCGCCCTTTTCTTCGGATTTGGCCCCGTGTGACTTCTACATCCTCTCTCACGGCAAAGAGAATTTCAAGGACAATTTACATCACTAATCAATCAATTGACCGTTTAGTATTTCTAAATATCAACTGAAAATAGATTTGTATAATGACCATTTAATTTGTTGCCTAATTTAAACAGATTTAGATTCCCTTATACGCCTCCTCTCTTTTGAGGAAATTTTCTGGAACAACGTGTACATGATGAATATATACAAACATATTCCGCTATTATTTAAATTATCGGTTTCTTACGCTGTCTAATAATAATCGCGACTTTCTGCTAAAAGAGAAAGTCTCAATGCGGAGAAACGCTTGAATATTCCGAAGTGGATATCTACCTAAATGGTTGCAATTGTTGCCACTATCTGCAGATCTTTGCCATTAAAAATTATTGCAGAAATTGGAAACTAAAGGCAGCTCTCGACCTGTTTATTATGGAAATCTATTTTCCCAATTACTTTCTAATGGCAATTTACGTATTTCCTTTTTAATGTCGTAGCGTTGGCACAGAAAATTAACAGAAAGCTACAAGGGTTCCGTTCAAAATTTTTATATTATTTTCTAGTTCCTTGTAAACTGATTAAGAATTTCTGAAACTAAAAGTAAGTAAGTGCCACATAATTAATTATTTTAGAAAGTATCAATCGTAAAGGAATGAACTTGTCTAAATTTCGGTCAGTTTTTACAACTTTGAAGTGGCTTAAACCAGAATAAGCTACAGTTTCCAACACGGAGAAAATGAAAGACGAAAATTTACCTATATAAGCGATATTTACAATTTATCCCACTAGCCCGTTGCTTCGTAAGCGAAAATAATAAAAATTACAATTTGGACCCGAATTTGTAAAAATAAAATCCCAGCAGAAATAAATTTACTAGGTANACTAGCCCGTTGCTTCGTAAGCGAAAATAATAAAAATTACAATTTGGACCCGAATTTGTAAAAATAAAATCCCAGCAGAAATAAATTTACTGGGTATTTTAGTTGATATTACAAATTTAATTGTAATAATTAAGAAACTTGAAATAATTTTTAAAGAAACATGTCAAAATTAAGATTATTACAAGTTACCTAATAAATTCTACTACTTCTACGGCAAATTCAGTTATTTACAATCGAAAAGTGTAATTTTTGCGTTGTCATAAAAATTTAGTTTTCTCCGTGAAAGAGACCATCAAAATTAAATATTCACACAAAACTAAACTCACATCAGGTTGTTTTACCTTGATCTACAAGATGCATATGGGCAGTATGTCACAAGAAAACATTTAAATAACATTGTTTCCAAATTCCTCCTATTCTTGCGATTAATTTAAATACGTCACAGCCCAGTAGCAGAACAGGTGTTTAGTTTTTAGGTTCAGCAACCGTTTTTCTAATTAACTTTTTCATTTTCGATTTCCTTGGAATCAGAAGTAAATATAACGACAAAAACATATTTGGCATGCACACTTCTAGGTAGGTACCTACATAGCCAACTAGCAAACAAAGAATTTTCAAATAATTACCTAAGCAGTTTATTAATCTATTTTGCAATAATATGAAACACATTTTATTCTTAAGACTGGTAAACGATTATGTAAAAGTCCAGTGGCATGACTTTTTGTATTTCATATGCCATTGATTGTTTTAACTACAGTACAGGTACGTATACATTTGTTACACTTTCAAAACGGTGTTCTGTTTTAACTTTCGATAGGCGTAATGCAGTAATTTTTGTTTGCTTACCCAATAACTATCTGCATTTCGATAGACGGTTTTTTTGTCAGAGGCCTGCAGCTTTTGAAGAACGATTAGATGGCTATCAGAGTAAAGTTTATGAAATTAGTTCATTTAAAACAGTCGATCTAGGTCGTAACGAACGAAATTTAAAGAACAATATTACGATGCGTCATTCATACTTATATAACGAACGATCGGCCTTAGTGAACGTTTTTAAACGGGGAAATTAGCAAGTTCGATCGGTTATAACGAAATAATATCTCTTTATAAAATGGACGTAGCCTGTTATGAAAGTACGTTATACTTTTTTTTTTAATTACCGAAGATATTAATGAGAATAATCTACAAAGAAATCCTGGCTATAATGAGCATAAGTCTTAGCCCACCTGTGTTCGTTATAACCGAGTTCGACCGTATTTTCATAACAACTAATAATTAATATAGTATTAACCAACAAGTTTTCTATGAAATACAAAATCACACGTATAACGATTTAAAAACGGGTAACTAAGATGAAAAATGACTTCTGTTCTACTGTTTGCTACATATAACTTTCATTAACTTTATCAACTGCACGCAAAGTAAAAACTTAAAAAATTTAATAACGTATTCGTTGAACTACTTTTTATAATATGCTCGCAAACCTCTCACTTCAAGTCCAACGGTTATTAGATAGATAAATAGTAGTTGTTACTGTGCATGTACCTTACGTAATAATAAATTAATTATTTATTATTGTAGCTGAAAGTGTATGTATATATTTTTTAAAGTCGTTTCTGGAATACTCAAAGTTACTATAATGTAAAACTAGTTTACATTCGTCTTCGCCCATCTTACATTTAATTAAACACTATCGTAAGGCTTTAGAAACATTAAAAAAAATTGTAACAAACTTACGAAACTGCACTATTACTATTTAACCACAGGATGGATTCCACAAGTGAAAAACGAATACATAGGGTGTGTTCCGAAATATAAACCAGCATACTAACCAGTGCTGATGACGTAATGAATCGACTCCATACTGTTGATTCGTTCCGAAATATACTGGCCAGTCCATTGACGTCAAATTGACGACATATTGATAATAGTGTTTGTGCTCGTTAACAACAATTTTGCTCCAAAAGTTATTTAAGTTTCTTGCAATAAAAGATTCCTCATAGTCTGATGCACACACGCCCGTTTGAGATATTACTACATCTCATTTGTCTCACCAGTACAATATGGTGGCACTCCAGTACAATATGGCGTCGGTTTATGACGTCATCAGCACTGGCCAGTATGTTTGGTTATATTTCGGAACACACCCATAATAAGTTAACATTCAAATGTTAACGTAGGCGGTACTACTTAAAAATTCGTTTAGAGTGAACAAAAATTGGATTGCAATTATCTCTTAAACTACTAAACCAATTTTTACCACCTTATAACAGCATCTTCCCTTCCGTTTTTCACCAAAGAAATCGATTATCCGACGTGTTTCACCAACAGCTCAGGCAACGTAGCGAGAGCTCGATGTCCTGACTGAAGGAGGAGGATCAATCTTTGACCTCGGCCATCTTCCATTAAGTCTGATTATCGACGCTATTTCTTTCTTTTAGTTTTGTCTCTTTACCTATTATCATGTATTTGTTAACTGATTTTAATTAATCTTATATATCTTTTTTATTACAGGTTCCTAATATGGAAGAAATGAGTTCGTTACAATTAAGGAGTGTTAATTTCGAGAAAGGATTGTTTTGAGGATTTAACTTTACGTATACAAGTCCGCAATAGCAACAGTTATTACGAGACCACCGCGTCGGCCGTTTTAACAGTAAAAGTCGCGGATTGCATTATTACTCAGTTGGAAACGTGACAGAATTTGAAAAGGAATTGCGTCGATGTGAACCAAGACTGAGATCGAGGTATTTAAGGCGTAACAAAATTTACATGTTCACAGAACATTTTTACCGTTGCAATGGATCACAAGAATGGACGTAATGGGTCTTGGGACTCGAAGGTAAGATTCACTTTTGTTACGAAATCGACCCAGATGAAGTTCCGCACAATTAACTTATTGTGTCAAAGGTAAATTCCGGATTATAATTGCCAAAGCGAAAAAACAACCTGAACTTTCATAATTGTCGTCATCATCATCGGTAAATACCACGCAACATTCAAGTTACAATATAATAGGTGATGGTGTGATATTACTCCAGGTCAATGTACGAATGATAATGTAAAAATTTAATTTAAAATTCACCTTTAACAATATTTTTTGAATTTCTAAATTAACCTTTCGCGAGCATAGAAGTAAGTGGCTTCTTTTTATTTTACTCCTTCAGTCCTGACTTATCTGACTTCCTAGATACCTAAAATCAGTCACTTCATCTAATTTTTCGTCTCCTATCTTTATATTCACTCTTCCCCTACTTGTTCTTCCCTTGCATAGCAGTATTTTTGTTTTACGTTTATTTATTTTCGTACAATACTGTTTTGACAATACCGCTTCCATTTTATTTAAAGGTATCTCTAACTCCTCCTTACTAGATGCTAATACTACTATATCATCTGCAAATCTAAGCATACTAATCTTTTCCCATACGAAACGTAAATTTATGTATTGTTCGAAGAGATAAAAATTTAGTGTTACCGAATGCATGGGTTGAGCCCTGGATCCAGGTGAAGCTTTTATCTTTCCAAAGTCTTCTTTTATAATCCAAATACTCATGGTTAATTAGAAGATTCACTCATGCACAGTTAACAGGTGTATCTACACCTATATTTTTGTTTACCAATCAATGTCATGCATAGCGATTTCGAGAGGTAAAAGGATAGGTTTGCGTTACTAATATACCACTTAAGATTATGTAAAAGCTTTTTAAGTCCTATCAAGAACGACCAGCTCCATTCCACAGATACAGATGTACATATAAATACCGCTAACGACACCTTATTTTACTGATTGTGAGCTGTGAGAGAATACAATTCAAATATCATATTGCATAGTAATTCTCTACTAAAGATCAACTATTTCGAAGGAATGAACCGGGTAACCTTTAGATTCGTTCTGATTTTGCAAATTAATCTCAAGGATCTATAGAAATTAGATTTCTGTAATGACACTAGTGAGTTATAAATGTATTAAATTCGTAAAGCAAAACATTGTCCCATTTATGCACATATTTAATGACTAATGTTGCGTAGATGTAACAGAAAAATTACGAATAAAATTTGATATTCGAAAGTCATGCGTACGGAATTTTTTTCTTTTTAAATGTTGGATGTTTAATGTGCAAAACAGTTTCTAACGACTTGTAATCTCATTTTAGAAAGGCAGTATAATAAAAGACGCTCTTCTGTAGCTTCAAGCTCACTGGAATCGCAGAAGAACATTCTATCTGCATTCCGTGTTATATCTTACTATTTTATATTAAAAAATTGACGATGGCAGAAGTAGGTTACGACAAAGTAAACGTTTTCTTCATAATATTTGAAAACAATAAGTATGCATTTGTTGACTGAGTACACAAAACAAAATTACCCTATTAACATTAACCTGAAGGTCGATTAGCATGAACTATTACTAAGAAATTTAAAATAGGGTAATAACTCTGCATATGCATATTGTAATACAAATAAGAAATGTTTAACAATTAAGATTGTCGGCCTAAGTACGGTCCTTATATCTACGAATGACATACGGTCCTTAATTATAACAATGAACATGTAAACTAATTAAGTGAATATTAAATATTTACCGTTAACTGTAAGATCGTTTCACATGCTCCGAAGAAAATAATTATCGTACTAATTACAGTAACATGGATAGCAAAATAAAGGTTTTTCAACCCATTTTCAGTTAAAGAAAAAGTATGCTCAGATAACAACGAAAAATACAATTCCATTAGATAGAAGTAACTTTTGTATGAATTTTTAACATAAAAAGAAATATTCAAAAAGAGATAAGTAAGATTACTACTGTGGCGAAAGAACTCTTCTTGTTTCTTTTTTGTGTAAATATTTTGTATAGGTATATATTTTTTTTAAATTTATTTCTTTTATAATGTTTAACATTTCTTCAATGTAGATTTCGACTTCTTATCTTTTGCATGCCTTTGTTTCCTTTCTATTTCTATTCTATTGTCCCTAATCACCTTTACCTAGAAATCTAACTTAAACCGTTTCTGCATGCACCTCTTACTAATACCTGGCTTTTCCCTTAATTACCTTACCTCAAATTCTATACTGTTCAACCTCTTCAATTCTACGTATTTCTGTAAACTCGTGTCTTCAACCCTTATTGCCAGTCTTTGTAAATCTTGAATATTCTATCTCTTTTTACTAACAATTTCCTACTGTAAATACTCCTAACATCCCCATTAATTTTAATTCATCTGTGTTCTGTGCATTCGACAGTCTATTTAGTAACTTCTCTTTTCGTATTGTTATTATTATTGTTGTTGTTGTTATTTCTTTGTGTGTTTTGGCTGTTGTATCTATTTGTTTTGTTGTATAATTTGTTGTTGGCACATAAATTTTGGTTAATTATTTTAATAGTGTTTTTTAATTATTTTTATTAATAATTATACAAGAGACACTAAACTACCTTTAACTTCAATGTATTTTTGATCGAATTTGTACTCAATTATTCTATTGTTATACATTAAAACGTCATTAAATGACTAACTGTTTAACATTAAAGGAATTTGTAATGCAGCAGGGTGCAGGTCGATACCATGTAGTATACTAATTGTAAGTAAGTATTTTACACGGGTTAACAAACGTTACTATAACAGTAGAGTGGAATCAGTTAGACGAAATACCGCTTTTAACATTTCGCATATCAATTACGACCCAGATAATTATCCATGTTGTGTGTAAAAGATATCTGACCAAAATACAAGCGACAGAACTGTTATTAGCGAGACAGGTATTCAGGAAGTTGCTTCATCAATTTTACTGTATTACGCATGGGAAAAAATCGAAAAGACATCCTCTACTACACAACCAATAAAATTAATTTGCTTTTACTATTAATGAGACGCAATTAAAAGTCCCACATGATATACGTACGGTAACAGAAAACAGTGGCGGAGCTGATTTATACATTTAAGCATAGAGAAAAATGAACCCATACTTTAAATGTTACAAATATACATTTTATTTGCTTCCGTCATTATCTGAAATAATCCCTGGAAGTATAGCTCATATTTTCGCCATTCCTTAATGAAGATTTACTTTGAAATGCTGGATCTAATTCAAACAGTCGCCGGTGATATTGTACATTAGGAACTACAGGACATTAAAATTGTAAAGCGTGATGTAGTTCTGTTGATTTTTGATACATTGTTAACAGCAGTTAGGGTAATTAAACTCTTTTAAGCTATGATAACCTTAGACAAAAATTTTCAGTCTCTCAGGGTCTTTCAGAGTCTTTCAGCGTCTCTTAGACCGTCCCTCACAGTCTTCACAGTCTCTCAGTTATTGCCTAGGTGTTTTTATGAATCTCTCACAGTCTTTGTATGAGAGACTCGAAAGATAAAATTGTTAATTCAGAGATTTGAGTCTCTCACAGAGAGGCTGAATGAATAAAACTGAAAAATTGAGAGACTCGAGTCTCTCGTAGAAAGACTGGGATCTGTGAAACATGTTGAATTTTAACCATGTCTATCAAGACACCACTTATTGAGAGATTCGAGTATCGTTCAGATATTCGAGTCTCTCGTTCAGAAACTGGATACGAAATGAAGATCTCTCTATGAGCGACTCGAGTCTTTCGTTCAGAGACGCTAAACAGTTTTTTTTTGACAGTCTCTCTCAGCGACACCAGAGAGACTCGATGAGAGACGGAGACTCGAGTCTCGCTTTCAGAGACTCTGAGAGACTGTACATTTTTATCTCGGGTAATCTGTGCTCGCGAGCAAAAATAAAAAAAAAATCACCATTTTTAAACTACACTAAAAATTTTACGAAAGAAAAAAATCTTTGAGCCGTCAGGTCACCTTGTTGGATTTTCTGAAACATTCAACATCGAAATAACTTTGGTTTGCGATTTTTTTATTTGCATTACTTAAGGTTTTATTAAACTTTTTTTATCATTATTTTCTTTAATTTTCGGTCCCAATTGAAAATAATTTGTATGTATTTATTGCGAAATTATACACCCGGTTATCGCGATAGGTGGCATCGCGTAAGTTCAAGGTATTACTGTACACTATCTACACTAGTTACAGCATATCAAAACATGAAAACTACTTCAGGCTTTGCGAATTTAGCTTTGTTTATGTACGCTTCAACCGGCCTAATTTACTCATTCCGTATGGGTTTTTTACCTGCATGATTTGCTCTTTTATGAACCCAATAACAATTATTTATCTTTTATATAAGTAAGTGTACTTTGTACAGAGAGAAAGTTGCAGGTAGGTAACGTAATTCACACAAATAGTCCTACGTAATTACAATTCTTCTCCGTATACTCTTGCGTTAATTAAAGAAATTATCAAACGAGTATACGGTAAATTTGCAACGTTTTCCTTTGCCGAATACAGCTGTACAAATAAATATAAGTGTACTATTCTTTTTCCGCTTAATTAACACACTTATTACCGTACTTTTGCATGTGCCTGTCCAGAAGCAGGATAATGTTTCCTGAAATTAATGGCTTCATGCGGAATTATACACGATCTCCATGGCATATTTATATGCGAACACTAGTGATCTAGAAAATTGTACGGCAAATCTTTTTATTTTGTTTAGTGCTTATAGTAATGACCACTTTTATGCATATTTTTAATTAGCTTTACACCCATGTGAAACTGCTTGTTTATAATTAATACCATAATTGTTACAATCAATAAATAATATAATCAATGATCCTGATAACCTGTCTGAATTTTTTAAGTTAAATCGAAAACGATTCGAAACGTTTTGTAAATTAGCCCATATTATGGGTCATATTTGTTCTACCGTAAAGACAAGAAGATAATTTTAATCTTAGATTTATCGATTTTTTGAAGGAATAATCATTAGGTAAATTTTACTAAACAACTACAGTATATACCTACTTATCTATAATAGTAGAAAACTCTCACTCACCCTTCGCCATATCCTTGTTCAAGATTCAGAAACACCATTGGTCCTGAAACAAAAAAGGACTTCATATAGTATTAGGTTATGTTTATTAATTCAAATAATAGAATTTTGCATGCCTAATAACTTACTACAATTCATTAAAAAAATACTTTAACCGCAGTTTTAGATACCTAGTAAATAAAAACTGTTAATTACGAAAACGTAACGTAGGGAAAAAATGCTGATAAATAGTGTTACGCAAGTAAAATTTCGCCTTGATTTGAAAGTATGAACAAGCGATAATAATCTAAAAAAGTTTCAGATCTCAAAGGATATACCTACTGGGTATATACGTAACCCGATCTCCGAAAGTTGTTTATTTACTAACCAAATAAGTGTTAAAAAGTAATAGCTAATTACATATTTAAGCACATAACATATTGATGGTAGAAATTTATATGTACATTTCATGCTTATACAAATAAATTAACCCCAACTTTTGGCACAGTCAAACAATCACAAACATGCAATTATTGTTACAATCGGAACAATTCGTACGGGTTCGGATGTATCCTGACCGTAAGGATTCAATTTCGCGAAGATAAAATAATAGGTACGATATAATCTATTTACCTTTTCATAATTGTTTTATTAATTAGATAACGGCAGAATACACAATGATCATAACTTTGCCACAATCTATGGCACAGTAGGTTTCGAATGATATAAATTTTCTTAAAAATACCGAAATTTGAAAGTTCATTTATCAATTAATGCGTCTAATGATTTCTTATTATTAATTTATTTACAGAAACTGCTGGACTATTTTAGAATAATACTTAAATTATGTATTGTAAGAAATATTAATTAAGGTGAAAGTAACACAATTTGTGTAAACCTTACAATCCAATAATTTTTTTAAGAAAATAAATCGATGATATTGTATTTTGCAAAAGTGTCTTAAAAGTAATTTAATTTTTATTTACCTATTATTGTTAAGTTCACAGAAATTAATAGTAATAAATTAAAAACCGCAGATGTAAAGTTATGCCTTAAAATAAATTTGATTAAGAACAAATTATAAGAACCAGTGCGTAACTTGATCTAGATAAGAAGCCACCGTAAAGATCTATTTTAGAGTACCTACCTACTTTTGACCAAAACTATTTTTCTTAGTTTCCGATTGCTATTTACCTGTATCAAAATTTAATACAGACTTAAAGCTAAAAGTTAAACTCAAGCAAAAGTCATTAAAATTCTGAAAGTAAAATATTGCGGTCATGCTCAAATCTCTATAATAAAAAGAAGTCACTGCTCACGAAACGGTTAATTTAGAAATTCGAGAAAGGTTATTAAAGGTGTATGTTTGGAGCGCGGCGTTGTACGGGTGCGAAACATGGACACTGGGCAAAGAAAAGATTAGAAGCCTTCGAAATGTTGTGTTATAGGCGAATTGTGAGGATAACGTGGGTAGAAAAGGTTAGGAATGAAGAGGTATTAGAAAGAATAGGAGAACAGATGGAAGTCTTAGGACTGACGACCCTATGATGATGATGATGTTCAAATCTCTACAGAACATCCGTGATTCTAAGGATATTTTGTTTCTCAAGCTTCTTCATTCACTTTTGTATGAAACTATTTCCGTAAGCATTTGTTAATCTTCTATTCTCAATCCAATCTTTCATTATATTTAGATGATTAAAGATAACGGACAAATCTTTGCTTTAGTTTCATATCATGTCCGTATTACTCCTTTTTCTTTAATACAAAGTACATTAATAGAAGAAAAATTTGTCATTCCATCGACAAAAATTAAGCAGATATGTTTCAATTTTGGCAAAAACCTCATACTACATTTCATTATTACTGTTAAATTCATACAGTGAAAACTAAAAGTAAATATTCATACTGAGCTGAGAATCTGAAGGTTAATGGTACAACTTTCGCATTTTTATGTTACCTATCATTTGTCTTATTAACTGCAAGCAATTTGTTATACCATACCAGGACCCCCGAATTTATCAGATTAGACTGGTCAAATTTTTTAAGAACCACTTTCAAGACCCAGTTTTTTCCTTGTTTCGCTCCTTCGGTCTTTTGTCTTTGTCAAGGTTAAGTTCCTTCCGGTAAAATCTACACAACAACTTTAGTGTAAGACAGTAGCCTAGTATATGCCATTTAAATAATTGTGTATATGTATATGCATATGCCTTAATATGTTTGTGTAGAACACTCACTATGTAAAAAGAATGTTAAAACGTTTAAATACTAGGTCATGTTGGAACACCTGTTCTAAACGCATTTTTTAATCCGCTCATACCTACTGATTCGTTAAAACGAAGCTAATTTCTACAATTTTTTAAACAAAAAGCAAATGAACAAATAGAACATTGATAAAATAAGTGGGATCAATGATCTGTATTTGCTCATATCTCAGCTGCGTCGACCAGCGAATATCCAACGGCTTGTTATGGTATAAATTCACAAACTGAACGAATTATACGATCTGTCCGTTCAAAAAGTATCGCGAATTTTGTGTTTTTCCAAAAATTATTTATTTATTAATGAATATACACTTGTGCAAACGTTTTTTCCAATCCTCGAAACACTTAAAAAAATAATTTTTATGATCTTGTTCAGTTCTTCCTTCGATGCCGTCTTCTCCTCAATGGTAGCGTAGCATCGTCCTTTCATGAGCCTCTTCAGCTTCGGGAACAAGAAAAGGTCACAGGGGGCCAGATCTGAAGAATACGGTGGCTGTGGCATTATTAGTGTGTTGTTTTTGGCCAAAAATTCGCGCACAAGCAACGATATGTGAGCAGGGGCGATATCATGGTGCAAAAGTCAATTTTGAACTTCCACAAATTCGGGCGTTTGTTACGAATTAATTCGCGCAAATTGCGCATAACTTACAGGTAATATTCCTTATTGACCGTTCTACCGTGTGGCAAGAACTCGTGATGCGTCACGCCCCTGCAATCGAAGAAAACTGTAAGCGAAACCTTCACATTCGACCTAACTTGGCGCGTTTTTTTCGGTCTAGTAGGCTCGTGCGGCAGATTCCATTTGGTTGGTTGAGTTTAAACTCATGATTCGTCACTAATTATGATCTGCTGGAGGAAATCCAACATCTCCTTATCGATATTAATGCGGTGCTGTTTTTGGTCGAAATTGAGCAATTTTGGTACGAATTTCGCGGCGGCCCTTCTCATGGCCAAATCATTGGTAAAAATCGAATTGTAGGAGCCAATCGATATGTTTAGGCCCTCAGAAACTTCTCTAACATTGATTCGACGATTGGCCAATACTATTTTCTTCACTTCATCAATGTTTTCGTCTATTGTTGACGTGCTCAGGGGTCCAGCACGCTCTTCGTCGTTCACATCTTCTCGGCCCTCTAATACGGATTCTTTGATCCATTTTTTGGAATAGGCAAAAATTGAAGACGAGCCAACCGGCGGAAATTCAAAATTTGCGATACTTTTTGAACAGACCTTGTACTAATAAGACTTTGACTGTATGAGGTCTACAGGTCCAGCTCCTTTGGGTGAACGATTTCGATCTGTGTCACTACCGCAATATACGCTGATATTTATTTAATTTATTATCTAATTCATTATAATTGTTTCAGATGTCCGTGAGCAGTGGCAGTACACATGCAAAGCGATTTAGGAAATCATCAAGTTCCATACTCTCTTCCGATTCAGATATAAGATTTACGCGAAGAAAGTTGAGTTCCCAGTACAAATGTGGGTGTTGTATAATAGCTGCCTTCCTACTTCTTCTATTGTTGGCAAGCGCATCCGTTTATGTGGGATGTAAGTATCGAAAATTAATTTTGCATAATTTTCTTATTATTAGGCATGTAGGAGGGATAAACATCGCCCATCCCAAATAATAGCCGCACAACAATTTCGAATTTTAATTAAACCGTCGCGTGATACTTATCTTTAACAGCAAAACAAAAGCACGACGCTTTCTAATAAAGCTTATCTTGTGCTAATCATTTCAAATTGCCAACCATTAGTCTCTTTCTAATCGTATGTAATAAACGAGCAGATGAAATGTTGATGCTCTTTGTTCTCTTGACATGTTACAAACATAACGAGGAATTTAATTAATTCTTAATTGTTTGAATTGTTACTGTGATAGGAGGTGTGAGCAGTGGTCGAGATTTGTAAATATAAATCATTACCAAAATTATGGTAATGTCTCTTAGACTTCGAAGTTTTTGTCAAATAAATCAAGAATTCGCCATCTATTTATAAGTTGATAAATTGACGTTTTTAATGTGTAATTAATTTTCATTTTGAAAAACTTAATCTATTTCGCATTTCCCCATTATAAATATGATCAAGACCAAAACTGTCTTTAGACTAGCAAGATCAAGGTCAAGACCAAAACCGCGCGGACAAGACCAAGACTAAAATTAAGACCGAATATGCCTGAGTAAGATCAAATTCATAACTTTGTGGCGATATCCACCACATGTTTGAAAATTGTTTCATTTTGTTTACATATTGTAAATACCTTTCTAAAATATTTCTTTTCTATTTTCGATTAGTGTCTATAAAAATTCCTTCCTTTTGTAAATAATCTATTGTATCTTGCTTATCTATTTAAATAACTCTATTACTGTACTTCCCTATAATCCCTGTAACATTTCATCTTTTGTGTACTAACCGCATGACGTCTGTACCTTTCATTCCTTCCTAATTACATTTTTACAATCGGTTTCTTCGGTGGTTGACCGGCCATCAATTCCTTGGTATTTCTAATCTTAAAGTTTCCATATTTTAATGCTTCCCTACTCGTATCTACTACCCTCTCTATTCCTTTCTTGTAGAACAGTTTTTCATTTTTCATAAAATACCAAATTAGTTCGTCTTACGCCTTCAGCAGAACAAGTCTCTTCTCTTCTCCTTTCGTTACGCCAGTTGTTGTTAAGTTGTATATATATGTTGTTGTTGTCTAGTTTTAATTATTCGTTTTCTAAGTCCTCCTCAAAACCTTCTATAACAAAGTGACCCAAACAAACATACAAAAACTTTAATATATTATTTCCTTGGAACACAACAAAATGTAAAAATAAGGAAACTTTGCCACTGTTTGAAAAAAGGAATATGGGACAGTCTTAGTCTTGGTATTGCTTTGGTCATCACCAGTTATAAGTGGAAATGTATGCTTGTGTGTCTGTCTGTTATGTGTTCACGATTGGACAACTAATCTGACTTCAATGAAAGGGAAAAAGGTAGCTCAAAATCTTGATAAAATAAGATACTAAGCCGATGGAGACGAAGGCTAATTAACTTAAATTACTAGAGAATTAAGTTTTTAATTTCTTTTATGTGTAGCCCAGAAAATAATGTAATTAGGACTTCTCTTGTCTGTAATATTTAGTGGTGTATTATCAACTTACCTACTAAAATAAACTAAAGCATTCCGTATCTAATTATAATGTCCATTATAGTAGCAGACCTTTTCATATAAAGAAATATCCTTATTTCACGTAATACTTTATTACTCATTGTATTTAGTGAATTATTGATACATAATGTAAATAATTATCCTGGTGTAATTATCTGAAAATAGTTTGTAAGCAGCAATTACATTGCAAATATATCTCGTATATTACAGGCTTGTAAAGAAATACAGTCAATGTACTGTAATAGTATAGTGCAGTCCTTGACATTCTCAAATTTATGTTTTCTATAAGTCTTTACATTGTCATTACAGTAGGCGGCACGTAGTGACTTATCCTACTTAACTGATTAAAATTGACATAACTGATCAAACATTTTACCATTAAAACTCAATAAAGTGGCGCTTACATACACTTGGTGACATTGTTATTGAAATCCAATGTGCGATAGCATAAACTTTTGTTACTCAGTTTTAATTAGTAAAGGGGAAGCTAAAGATTAGTAGATAATGTAGGGTTTCAATCAGAAGGTGGTATGGTTGAATTTAGTCTCAAATCGCCGAAGATACTCAATTAAAAGTTGCAATTAGGATAAAGAATGCCCACGGATGTTCCGCATAATTTTTTAACATCCGCTTCTGCATCTCGTTTCGCATTTTAAAACGGAATATTACTGGTATGTTTACGAAGTATTAGCGACAATATGTGGTATGTATTTATAAAAAGAAGCTTCCAAAAACTGAAGCAATTCCTTCAAGGTCTATGCAAAAAAATCGAAGGAAAAGGTATTTTTTCGAGGGTTTACTGTAAAGTGAAAGGTTTTACATAATTTGTATTTATAAAAACAAGCATCTGCTCAAAAACTGAAGGATTTGCTTTTAATAAAAGGAATCTAGTATCACAGTAACTTTTCTAGCTCTTTTCACTTTTTCAGTATCTGCCCAGGCATCACACAGCTTGTAACGTAAAAATTTATGTATTTGTAGGACTGTTTTAGTGTTAAAATAAAATTGAGTAGTTGCAAAATGTATAATATATCTTTTGCAAGTGTAATAAATCGCAATTATTTTGTGAAGTTACAAGGAGTTCGATTAAATAATTGCTCTATATAATTATTAAATTTGTCATGTCAAAAGTTTAGTTTTGTTAAGGTGTGAGATAAAAAGGCAAGGTAATTTTACAATTCATTGCCACCACGTACATACGAGGGAGCGTCTCAAGGACGTGGAATTATTCAACGATTGCTATAAGAACAACCTGCAAATATTTATGTGGTACATGGTACATACAACAGGTGTGACTTAATAATAAAATCAGTCTGCTGTAGTTGCAGTCACGTGGAGAACAATATTTTTAAAACGGAATAGACACGTGGCAGCGAAAATCGAGGAAAGTACATTTTTGAATAAAAGGTATCATTATTTTTATAAAATTAACTGGAAACAATGTGAAGCGATGTAGATAGATCAAACTGATGAAACCTTAAGTAAGAAATCGATGAACAAAACGATTATCTACACAAATTTTATTGGTACACAATGTATTTTTTGAAAACGTTAAATTTTGACATATTAAAGAAGCCCAAAAAATCAGTAAAGTTTTAATAAGACATTACCATTTTACTTTCCTTGTCATCAAAAATATTTCATGAAAATCCGACTTATAGAACTAATAAAATATATTAATATAAGAACAAAGGCTGTCACTGCCGGAATCCATAGTATAATAAATATTCGGACGTGGTCTAAGTGAACTATTTTGTCCAGACGTTTCGTCGGTTACTGCGGCTGACATCCTCAGTAGCTGTCGAGACTTCTAAGTTCACGTTGTCAACGCAGGACTACCACTGAGGATGTCACCCGCTGTAGCCGACGAAACGTCTGGACAGAATCGTTCACTTAGACCAAGGCCCTATAGCCCGAATCTTTATTTTACTACAAGATATTAATTTTTTTTTACTATAAACAGTTGGCGGTTTAAACACATGTGTGCGTAGGATTCAAAATTTAACAAGACAGTATCACTTAAGAACAATGATAAAGGATTGTTAACGCCTACTATACAACGCAAATTTGACGTAGGCATCTTTCAACTCCTTTCTCTAATAAATAAATTCATGAGAAAACCACGCCAAATGATGGTGCATTAAAAGAACAAATTTGCATAAATAAAACCAGCAAAGATAAGTACAAAAATAAATATGTATGCACATTGTATGCAGACGGTACACTTATAATTATTGTGGATTTTCGAAATGCAGGTGTTCAAAACATGAAATGATCGAACAGAGCCCAATGTACATACATAAATAATAAATTTCTCATATCATTGTATGGCATTACCGATTGTAATACCATTATTTCACTTTGTATTAGACGATCTTAGAGAAAGTACAAATGCAAATAGATGCATTAATTATCCTTGTTATTGGCCGTTCTTTTAAGTTAATAATTGAGAATTAGTAAGTACCAAATATTAAACGATGACGTTTGCTGAGGTAAAACACTCGGAGAATGTCCCCAGAGATAATGTTAACAGAAAATACAGCATTTCAAAAGTAGAAAAATGAAATGTAAGAAATGAGGACGTATTAGAAAGAATAGGAGAACAGAGAAGGAAATTTAATATGAAATAAGCAAAATTAGTTGGTAGGAGATCTCAGACCTGATGGTCCTAGTTGGAGACGTCTATTACAAGCAGAAACAGGAGTTGTTAGGTCAGAGGTCGACCTAAATTAGATTAGTATTTACAAATACTTAGAGATGTATGCCGGTTGCTCTAGTTTTCAATTTTCAATTTTGCCTTATTTCGTTTATATCTTTTCAGACACGTTTTTCGTTTCACATATCCCAGATGAACAAGTCTATAGGGGGACCTTCAAAGTTGCCAATGGAGACACGTTTCAAGCAGAACTAACTGATCCCTCGAGTCAAATTTTTCAAGAAAAATCGAGAGATTATAGAGAAAGACTGAACTTATTATTTAGAAGAAGCTTTATTCGATACGGTTTTGACAGAGCAGAAATCCTGGCTTTTGACGGGTATGTAAAAATTATAAGGGAGAATTATCTAGGGTAGTATTGAAGTACCCATAGTCACAATCAGCTGCAAAGGTTTTTCCAATCTTGATCAATGGCATCTTCAGTGCATTCCGTATAAATCAGCAGCTATACTTCATTTACTTTCTAAAGCGATGTGCCCTTTCTAATGTCTTGGATGCGCGCTGGCGAAATCGTAGGTAGAGAGAAAAAAGCTCATTATACTCTCGACTCTTGTTCATTAAACATACTTTTTCATACAGTACCTGCCAAAAGTTTCGTTCAATAAGAATAGTAGTGCGAGTCGAAAACAAGCGTTAAAGCCTTTAAATATAAATAAAAATCTCGTTGATATTTTCAGTAGTAATTGGTACCAATAACAGCACATTTGAGCAATGCAATTGTGGTGGATAAAATGGTCAATTTTTCCGTGCAGTACTGTACGGATTATACGCTCCTCACCGGTTTAAGAGTTTGACCCAGAGTTGTCCCCTTTCTTTTCTGGCCTAGTGCTGTTCTTTTCTACTTTGCGCCGGTCAAACTGAAGGTCACATCGCTACAGAAACTAAACGAACTATAACAATGATACGGAGTGTACCGAAGGTACCAACTGAAAGGAGAAAGATTATACAATACAATAGCTACCAATGAAAGCAAAATCACGCACACTTTATAATTTTCATGCAGCGACTTCTTTACCCTTTACTTCTAATTTATTTACCGTGGAGGTCGTCGACTGTATGACGCACGTTTTTGTTTCAGCAATGAAGACGAAGATCTGATTATCCATTTTAGCATTTACATAAATCCTGTTTATGTTAACATAAAGGCTAAAGACTTAGAAATGTTACTAGCCAAAGACATAAATTCTAAGGAACCAATTTACTTTCCCGACATAGTCATTGACCCTGATTCTCTAGAAATTGTCCAAGGAGAACTGATTCCACGAAGCACGACCGTGCCTTCGACGAAGCCCTCCACCAAAACTACCACCCAGTTACCTCCACCTCCTCGAAAATGTGTTCCTACACAAATAACCTACTGCTCAAAAGTAAATTACAATGTTACATCTTTCCCTAACATTTTTGGGCACAACAGTATTAAAGATGTTATGGAAGATTTCATATCGTTTAGGGAATTGGTGGATGCTGAGTGTTACAGATCAGCTTTTGAATTCATTTGTCAAACGCTTCAACCACCCTGTAAAAAGGGAGAAGACGAGGATGAAATGGTTCTTCCTTGCAGAAGTTTCTGCAGAGAATTTTTGAGCGGTTGTGGAGATAGACTGTTACCGAAATACAAAAATTCACTTGATTGTAGCCGATTTCCTGAATTTCAAGGAAAAGGATCCTGCATTACCAAACCCGGTATGGAAAATACGTAAAATAATTTTATAAAAGCTTTTGTAAATATACTAATACATACTTTAGGATCTCATTCTTTAATCTGATATTTTACGCCATTGTAAATAGTAAACTAATAAAATCTACATCTACTGAAATCATTCTTAATTTATTTTATAAGAGGTGCCATGCTATACAACAAAGTGATGTGTTTCTTATTTTGAGAAGCAGAATGGAATTTTATTAAGTAATGGTATTTTTGAATGCCAAATAAAACTCAAACCCTAATGTCAAAACACGACACTGAACGTTCGAAGTACTTTACTATAACAAAGTCAGATTCTTCAGGGACTGAAGTGGACTAAAGACCAAAGGTAAGGTAAACATTATTATGGTCCAGTGACCATAACTCGATATGTCAACTGTAATATTCGGTGGACCTTAGAAAAGATTAAAATTAGACTGAACAGTCGAGAATTAGGGAAAGGATCCTTGTACTTAATCGGCTTCTTTATTTAAGCATACCAAAATTATCAAGCAAGTTATTATTTCTAATTTTCTTAACTAATTTAAGATTGTCGATATTGATCCTATGGTTTTCAGTAAGAATATGTTGGGCAATACTAGATTTTTCAGAACAATATTCTTTGAATTTAACAGAAGTGTTTAGTTTGTCCAATATATTTTTTACATAGGAATTTCATCTTTGGCGTCACCGAAAAGAGTTTCAAACATTCTTACGCAAAATACCGTTGAGTCCTCGTGTTCAAAACATGAAATGATCGAACAGAGCCCAATGTACATACATAAATAATAAATTTCTCATATCATTGTATGGCATTACCGATTGTAATACCATTATTTNTCTTTATTTAAGCATACCAAAATTATCAAGCAAGTTATTATTTCTAATTTTCTTAACTAATTTAAGATTGTCGATATTGATCCTATGGTTTTCAGCAAAAATATGTTGGGCAGTACCTACTAGATTTTTCAGTTCTACCAAACCTGACGTGAACAAATATTCTTTGAATCTAACAAAAGTGTTTAGTTTTTCCAATATATTTTTTACAAAGGAATTTCATCTTTAGCGTCACCGAAAAGAGTTTCAAACAATCTTACGCAAAATGTGACATTGCAATAACATTGATTTTGATGCTGTCTTCTCGAAAAGTTGAAAATCTTGCAATGAGATTCTTAAATTATATTTTACTGAGTATTTTATCAATAATATTACAATTTTAGTCACTTTTTTGACAATATTTTTAATTGCGCGAAGTTCGTTATGGTATTACCTATCTTTGTTTGGTGCAAAACTGAGAAACCTTCGCATAAGGTAATTAAAATTGGTCATTTTATATTATCTACAATGATAAGAGTCTTTAGTTATATATATGGAAGTGTTTTTGGGTTTTCTACAGATATCGAATTCTAAAGAATTCCTATTTTTTGTACCGATGTATCCAAAAATGATAGCTTGACACCATTTTTTACTTCGACAATTATTATGAGAGTTTAAATCAAAAACAAGAAAAATATCGTCCGTACATTTTAGCCAATGTTGGGCAAAATAGGCACCCATGGTTCATGAAGAGATTAGTCCCTGATGTTATCGAAAAATACTCCGGACCTTCGGTGGCGTGGTATGGTGTTGGGGTTGAACTTTCTAGTGCTGTACAACACCGCCAAAACCAGTCCTTGTAATTATTGGCAATAATTTCGTCTATAATCTATTTGATTAAATAAATGCACACAACATTGCATAAAACATAATTAATAGAGTCAAAATTATTATTAGTACTTATCTATTTTCGTTATTAATTATTTAATAATTAATCGGATGTTCCGCATAAT